ATTCAAACCCTGACTTGGGTACTAGCTACATGACTTTGAGCAAATGATTTCACCTCTCCCAGCCTCAGTTTCCTCATATGTAAAAATGGACATAGTCATCATTGTTGCCCTACAGGGTTGTTGTGAAGATCAAATGAGTGTGCATGTGAAGCACTTCACAAGCCCTAAAATAATACAATACAAACATGTTATTATTACATTTGTCTCTTTACAACTTGTACCCACTGTTCTTAGTCATCTCATATGGCACCAAACCAGAAAAGATCTAATTTCTCTTCCACATGACAGTCCTTAAATACTTATAGACAAGGATGTAGTGGCCTTTTTTTTTTCCCTATAGTGTCAATATCCCCATTTCCTTTTGGGTCTTGGATATGCAAAATACAATCTATTGCTGGGCCCATACCCAACACCCTTACAGCTTGGGAAGATCTAAATAATTTGTACTGTTAATATCCCATTTAGGAATGCAAGATCACTTCCTTAACACCATGATAGAATAGAGTAGTGGGCCATCAGGCCCCATGAAGGCCAAGCTGCCTAACTTGAAAGATTCCTCCACTAAAGTCCTACCCCAGCCAGAGCCTCTTGGTGGTGAAAGAGTGACCTGGGCTCTTAAAGAGTAAGCCAACAAATTCTAAGTTCTAGGATGGCCTAAAAACTTGGAAGGGATGTGTCTCTTGCTTTAAGATCTAGAAGGGCTTTGTCACCAGAAGGTTGGGCACAAAATAATGAGTATTTTGGTTGGTTGTTTTTTTTTTTATTTTTATGATCACTGCAATACATGACATGATGGCCAAAGTATACAGAGATTGCATTCATTAAGTACTTTTGAGGAAGTAATGGATCTTTTAGGGTACATGCTTGTGGCTACAAATCTGACTGAAACAAGATATAACATGCAAAAGGTGCCCAAGTACAATAAGATGCCTGCTGATCTAGGTGGCACTCATAGAATCTCAAAGTTCCATTCACCTTAGAACTCATCTTACCCAACTCTCTCATTTGTCAAACAAGAATCCTGATACCAAAAGAGCTGAAGTAATGTGCCCCAACCTGTAATACTAATAAAAGAGCCAGGACTCAAACCCAGGTCTTTTGACTCCAATTCCACTATTCTTTCCATATGCATTACTGATAATCAATCCCTCAGTAAACATTTATTAAGCACATACTATGTACAAGGCATTGTTCTAAATGCTAGGGATAAAAAAAAAGAGGCAAAAGATAGTCTTTGCTCTCAATGAGCTTACAATCAAATACACGAGACAACAAGTAAATGAATATGTACAAATAAGCTATCTATGGGATAAATAAGAAGTGATTAACAGAAGAGAGGCACTAGAATTAGGAGGAATTGGGAAAGGCTTCCTACGTTCCAGCAGAGAACTTCTCTAAATGAAGTGAAAGAATCTCAGAATCCCAAAGCTAGGAGAGATGATCATAGAATCCTAACTTGTCATATTATAGATGAGGAAATTGTAGCTCAGAAAGGTTACATATTTAGTACTAGAGCTAAGACTCCAACTCCAGTAGAATGTTAAACTCAATGAGGGAAGGAAGCATTTGCTTTTCTTGTACTCCAACCCTTAGCAATGAGATAGGCACTTGATAAATATTTGTTAAATTTACTGAATTAAAACCTACTTTACAATTATTCTACTATGGTCCACGTGGCAGATGTTCAGAAACTCTTTCCTGATTGATGCCCACCACCCCAGAAGCATTTACTCAGAACTTTGATTATGTTTTGTGCAGAAAGAGAACATAGCCTCCCTTAGACCTTCTTCAAAGATGAAATAGAGAGTCTGATTAAACCAGGAGTGTCTGGCAGCAAGGTCTAATTCTTGTCCTTTAATTTGACTCTGATGAGTGAGAGATTTTTGAATTAGCTGAAGGAAGAAGAACCGAAACCTTGATCTTGCTTTCAAACTCTTTGCGGCTTTTCTGACCAACTCTTTCTCCTCACTTCCTATCATCTCTCTCCCATCCTCTCACAATATACATTTCCTTCTAATACCCAGTGCTCTGTTACCATAGTGATCCTATGTCTCCGCAGCCATGGACCAAAGCTCCTCTCCTGATTCCTTCAGGCTGACATCTCTTCTCCAGGCAGCTCATGGAAATCTGTCGTGTCTTACCTTTGGCTGTGGTTGCCTGCCTTGTTGAACACTTCACAGTTAAAGATTCATAAATCTGTTGATGCAATTTGCCACCACTATGTGGTTGATTTCACCGATCCTTCATTTATCACCACAAATAAGGGTCATTTCTCTTAATCAAGTTAGCGGGAACAGAAATCAGATCAACACAAATGAGCCTAGAGACACAGGCCTCTAGTACCACCAACTGTCTTCTAAGGATCTGTGGGTTTTGAATTAGGAGGATGTGGGGACAGTGGGACAGCTTGCAAAGAAAGCTCTGGTTACAGTAGGAACCAACGTTATATGTAGAGAATGTGGCTATAAGGAGGAGCATAGACAGAGCCACCTGACATTATAAGCAACAGTCTAGGAATTGGGTCACCTAATGTATGAAGACAAAGCTAGATCCATCCATTCTCTTATTCATTCCCCACTGCACTGCTCAAATAATTCTCCTAGTGCACCACATGAGTCTCTTGCTCAAAAGGTGTTAGTGGCTTCCTACAGCCACTAGGATAAAGTACAGATTCCTCAAGGTGTCAAAGCCCTACACAAGCCAGCTCCAGGCTTATTTAACATTATTCACAACACATTCCAGACAAATTGGCCTAGATGCTGTTCCTGAATATACAAATCCATCCCCCCTGGCATCACTTTTGCACAGCCTCACTGTCCTCTTTGTCTAAGATGGAAACTCCTCCCTCTTAGAATGCCTAATTTTATTTAAGTCTCTGTCTATATGCCACCTCTTGTTATACCTTTGGTGAGATGGGAAGTATGTATGTGGTCATAACATACTTTAAGCACAGAAAGGTAGGTGATAATCTAGATGGTTCAGGGTTTCTAAATGAGAATGCATGCTATTAGGACAATAACAACAATAACAATCTATCCATTCTATAGAAAATGATTGGAAAGCAATGACCACAATTAGTCCCAGGGCCCTCAAGCATAGTGTCAGTTTCATTCATGGAAATATTTTTCCTTTAGGAAAAAAAAAAACAAACAAAAAAACCCTCGCACTGGAGGACTTGTGGATTTATCAAACTTGGAACAGGAAGTCTTAAAGTCGATTTAGCACTTGCCTTAAAACATACTTCACGTAATAGAAATACACTCAAAAATACTCCCAAGAAGGTAACCAGAGCAATGGAAGGTAAGATTTGATTCTCACAGAGAGGTTTTACCCTTCTGAACCGTGTTTGTTGTAGCATGTTCTTTCAGACGAAAATTTGGAACCAGGTAGAGAGAGAGAACCTGGTGAGAGCTTCATTTTAAGATTACTGCAAACCTCTCAGAACACGATGTTGTAGTTTGCTTTCCCATGAGATGAAAACATAGCAACTTCTAATGGCAAATAGATCTAGAATCAGGAAGACCTTAGTTCAAGTCTTACTTTAGAAACTTACTGTTACATTTTGGGAAAGCCACTTAATATCTGTTCGCCTCCAACTCCTCATCCGTAAAATGGGGACAATAAAGGCACTTACTTCCTGGGGTTCTTGTAAGAATATATGCTATATTTGTAAGGCACTTCACAAATCTTAATAAGCTATATGAATGCTAATAACTATTAATATTAAAAACAACAGAAAATGTTGAAAACTCTAAAAGTTAGATTGTATAGCTACAAGCACTGTCATAAGATACTAGGTAAGAATAATAGCCAACCGATAAACTAGTAATCAGAAAAGAGATGTTTCTTAGCCTCTGAAACTGTGTCAGGCTGCCAGTCTAGGGGAAGGCGGGAACCTCTGAACAGGCACATTTATACATTGTTGGTGGAGCTGTGAACTGATCTGACTATTCTAGAAAATGTTTTAGAATTATACAAGAAAAGACACTAAATGCTCCTAACCCAGAGACCTAGGTGAGAGCAGACAAACCTTAAGGAGACCAATGACAGAAAAAAAGGAACCATCTATAACATGCTATTTATAGTAATACATTTTATGGTAGCAAAAAATATGGAAACAAAGTGGGTACTCCTACAGTTGAAGAATGGCTGAACAAATGGTGGTCTACAAATGAAATGAGCTATTATGAACTATAAAATAAACAATGAAAATGAAGAATTAAGAGGAACATGGGAAATCTTGTGTGAATGAAATACATACAGAATGAAATATGATGAACCAGAAAAACAGCAGACACAAATACTGTAATAATGGGAATGAAAATAACACTAAGAAGTAGTTAAATTCAGATTAATTGCACTGAATGACCTCGGTCCCAGAGAACAGTGGATGCAACATAGATCGCTCCTCTTTCTAGAGAGATGAGGGACTATTCGCATGAAATGTAGCACCCACTACCAGATCTGTCTGATTTGTTGGTGGTTTTAGTTGACTGTTTCCTTTTGTTACAAGGGAGGGTTTAATGGAGTTGTCAGGGTGAAATATATCAGGGAATATATATTTTTAAGTGTTTAAAATGTATATATGTTTTAAAGGAAATATTTTTAAAATGGGAAACTATTTTAACAGATTACTAACACTAAAGGATAGTCATTATTTGCATGGATGTTAATTGTGAAAAGAATTGTTGGCAGTACATCAGTTGCTTTTATACACACACACGCACACACATTCAGCTACAATGCCATTTACAGTTTCATACATGGGTCAATATTTTTTTTTTAATTTTAGACATCAGCAAAGATGACATTGTTTCATCACTAAAAGATCCAATCCATTGACACATGGATACAAAGGCATTGACATTATATATCATAAAACCCATGAATACAGTCAGCTATATACTACTCTGTAAGGGTGGGTGTCTCTGTGCACATCTCCATTCATAGTTTAATGGCTTGAGAAGTTAAAGTAATATATAAAAAGTTACTTCACATACCTTGAGGCCAAGACAGCAAAGGGCATCTCTCACAGACCGCTGTTTCATTCAGGCATATTTCTATCTTTGTCTTTGCAGTTCTCAACTAATGCACTGTAAAAGGAATATTATATTACTTTTCAGGAAGTACCTGTCAGGACCAGGAAGAAATCCAATAATTTAGCTTTGGGACATTTAGAAATGTAAATAAAAATGTGATATGTTTCTATAGCCTCAGGCATTAGATTTCTATTACATATTAAGGGTTCTCCCAAACTTGTGACATGCTTTATCAGTTTAGAAAACTTCCATCCCCCCAACCACAGAAAAAAAAGTCCAGCAATCGTGAATTTGAAAATACTTTTCTAACCACTCAAGTATGCCATCTTTGGATCATTCCCCCTATACCATGAGCATTGTTAAGGTTTTGAATCTAATCAATTTCATTCATTAGGTCCCCCAAACCCAAATTTTACTGTTTTCCTTTTGAATACAATGAATGCTTCAATACACAATTGGATCATCATAATGCTTGGCTATTAAAAGTTTTAACTTGACCTCAAACTCTCCATATTTATTTGATTAGGATTTAAAGTAGCTATTTTGATCATTTTTAGTTTGTGGGGTAAGGGGAAGGATTAGTGGTGTACTCTTCATCTTCACTATAAATCACTATTTTATTCTACAGCACAACAGAACAAGACCAGGGTGGTAAAGGCCTTTAGGATCATGAAATTTGAGGGTTGACTGAAGGAACTAAGAATATTTCACCTGGAGGAGGTATGGATCCTTGGGGTGGGGTAGGATAGGAAAATGTAGATATCTTCAAGTATCTGAAGGGCTGATAAGGAAGAAGGATTAGACCAGCTCAGTTTGGCTCTAAACTGCAGTATTAGGAACAATGGATAGAAATTTTAAGGAGCCAAATGCAGGCTGGAGATAAACAAAAACTGTCTAATTTAGGGATTTTCCAAAGGAAGGTTCACAATCTGGCAATTAATTATCCCCTTGCCATCCTACTTGACTTTCCTTGAATTTATTGTCTGTCATCCTTATCAACATTTAATGTTTTAGATTATATTTATTTTGTAATATATTTATAATAAATATTTATAATGCCTTAAAGATAGCAAAGAACTTTATATGAATCAACTCATTTGATGTTCAAACCAACCTTCTGAGGAAGTATGGTACAATGGAAAAAAAAATATTGCACCTGGTATCAAAGGACTTGTGTTCAAAATCTGCTTTAGCTGTGTTTGATCTGCCTTTATTACCTCTGAGATCTTTGGCAAGTCCCCAGGCTTCAGTTTCCTTTTTTGCTTAGTGAGGGGACTTGGCTAGATTGCCTATGAGGCACCTTCCAATTCTGAATTTATGACCCTGTGATTCCCATTCTATAGAAGAGAAAACTGAGTCCCAGAAAAGTTAAGTAGACTGCCCAAGGTCACTTAGGTTTCAAGAGTGAGATCTGAACTGAGGTCTCCCTGAATTCAAGTTGAACATTTTATCTAATGTCACTGCATTTCTCTTCTCTGTGGTGGTCCTATCTCCTAAACAAGACAGGAATGTGTTTACTTGGGCATGGGTAGAAGCCATAAAATCAATCTAGCCGTCCTCATTAAATAAAATACCTAAGAGTCAGTTTTCTCTAAACTATTTTGAGACAAGTAAGGCACTGGGTAAAGTCTGGAGATGGTAGTCTGGCACTTGTTTAAACTGAGTTTCTGACTTAGCCCTGGGTCTCAGACACCAGTTAGTTAACTGGAAGTTAGAATGAAGACAGTACAGCTATCCCAGGGCTATTACACAATCACTGGAAATTAGAGAGGAAAAAAAAAAGGAATCAATAGCAACTGTGAAGTCCCAGCTGTAATCCACTGAAAGGAGAGTAGCAAGCTAGTAATGTAGAGGCAACATTGAATGGGGTAGGGCCACGTTTATTCAAGGCTTAGTGCTAGAATGGGCATTGGGGAATCTATCTGCCACCACAAGGACTACATTTTAATTTCCAAGACTCCAAATAACATCAAACAAAACAAATAGATATGGAAGCCATGCAGCACACCCTGGCCGTCTTGGATTCTGACTCCTGGCTTTTCTGTTGGAGTATTAGATGCATTTATTGGTGCACAGCCATGCAAAACCACCTGTGGCCAGCAAGGAAGGAACAATGAAAATGTAAGATCACACCAATTCTGTACTGACCAGAAGTAAAACAGAAAATGCTTGGGCTCTGGCAAACTGATCCAAGTCAACTTGGATTCAGGGAGACCTCAGTTCAGATCTCACTCTTGAAACCTAAGTGACCTTGGGCAGTCTACTTAACTTTTCTGGGCCTCAGTTTTCTCTTCTATAGAATGGGAATCACAGGGTCATAAATTCAGAATTGGAAGGTGCCTCATAGGCAATCTAGCCAAGTCCCCTCACTAAGCAAAAAAGGAAACTGAAGCCTGGGCACTTGCCAAAGATCCCAGAGGTAATACTTTATTGAATGATAAAGTAAAAGTCCAGTATTCTAAACTAGAAACACAAATGGAAGGAGAGAATTAGGAAAGACAGAGGGCTAGGTCCCCTTGGGAAGAAAAGAAAAGATATAAGGTCTTTGTTAACTTTCTCTACATTGCAGAAATAATAATAATAATGATGATGATGATGATGATGATAACAACGATAATGATAGTAATTATAATAGCTAATATGTATGTAGAACTTTAAAGTCTGAAAATGAGATTTTACCTATTTGGATATATACCTATATAAATTATATATGAATACACAACTATGTGTGTATATGCATGTATTTGTGTATATATGTACATGTGTGTATACACAATATATATACATGCACTATATAGGGAATTGTGAGGATCAAGTGAGAAAATAGATATCATATATTACTTATTGCATGAAACATATATTTTTATTTGGTATATATTCCATACATATGTGTATATATGTGTGTGTGTATGTGTGTGTGTATATGTGTGTGTGTGTGTGTATTCTCATTTGATTCTCACAACAACTCTATGAAATAGTTCTTATTATTCCCATTTTACAGATGAGGAAACTGAGGCTGAGAAAAGTCAAATGACCGGTTCAGGTTCACACAGGTGGAAAGCGTGTGAGGCAGCATTTGAACTTCTTGACTTCAAGGCCAGTACTCTATCTTTCATATCATTTGCTGTCTCAAGGACAAAACTCTGTGTGGATTCCAAGACCTGGAGTAGAGACCAGAGTGTGGGAAGGAATGGAGTGATCTGAGAAGTATAAATGCATTATAATATTCTTAGAATTGCATCTCTAGAGTAGGAAGGGGCCTTAGACGTTATTTACAAATAAGCAAACTGAGGCCCAGATAAGAAATGTGACTGCTCAAGGTCACATGAGTGGTCGATGGCACAGTCAGGATTCAAACTGAGGTCCTCTGACTCTGAATCTGGTGCTTTTCCCCACTGCATTACCATGAGAGGTGAGAAAATGCAAATCACAGAGGGTATTTTTTTCCCCCTGTACTGAGACTACTTTGTAAACATTAACTAATTAATCCCAACAATACCCATGGGAAGCGAATAGGTATTTTCTCTCTGTGTTTTACAGATGAGAAAATTATAATAATGATTATGTTCATTTATAGAACTCCTTTTCCTGGAGGACTTCAGGGTGCTTTACTATTTTTTTTTAAATGACTAACCCCACATGAATCATTATAATGCATCTGGGAAGCCAGCAAAGCTACAGTAACTGACATAATGGACATTTAAAAGTAAAATAACTAAGTGATTGTTCTTTCCCTCATTTCTTCTAAAGTCCCACAAAACCCAGAAAATCCACGCTTGTTTATTTTCAATCTTTACTGATGCCATATCTTGTCGGGAAGTAATAACAATGAGACAATGAACGAACATTTTTAAAATGCTAGAGACCTTAGAAATTAATTGTTATCCAGGAATATTAAAAATGAAAGTAAGTAAAATCAAGCCAGCTAAGGCTCTAAGAACAGAGAAGACCTGCTTTAATTATTCATTGGATCCATAATCTCACAGATACCACTGAGATTTCACCATTGAAAGAAAGCAAACTGTTCACACCATTCTTATGTGGTTTCTTTCTAAGTTCTCCATAGGGAAAACTACCCAGTATGCTGCAGGCCATTCTCAGGGGCTTCTATTATTTTATAGATACCAGTGCAACGTGGAGACTGTCCTTTTATTCATAACTTTTTTCATTTCCTGGTCACACGTGTGTAATAATAATAATAATAATAATAATAATAAGTAGCATTTATAATGATGATGATGATGATGACAATAGCTAGCTTTTATATAGTACTTTGTATGTCTTATTTCGTTTGATCCTCATAACAACCCTTTGAGGTAGGTGCTACTATTATCTCAATTTTCCAGATGGGTAAACTGAGGCCAAGAGAGGGTAAGTGATTTGCTAGAATAGGAAAAATTTGAGGTAGGATTTGAATGCAGGTCTTCTGGACTCCAAGTCTAATGTTTTATCATCACTTAGCTGCCAATTTACGCAGAGCTTTAAGGTTCACAGTGCTTGACATCCAGCCTATAAAACTGCACTGAGACTTTTGGGACGGTATGTATACTAACTCATTAAATCACTGATGCTCTTTTTTATGCTATTTCTGGTATGCGCCTCATCTATCATTGACCATATGCTTCAGTATGTTCACACTTGACATGCATTATGTTATTGCTCTCTGAATAACAAGACTGAACACTGGAGTGATGCATTTTGCTCAGTCACTGCGAGATTTGATTGTCCATTTTGCATTCTGAAAGGATCTCCAACTCTCATTGATGGTTGTCGCCGTGATGGATGGGGGTTGCTAATCTGTTGTAGATCATGGCATTCCCTGACTGGCAGCAATGTGGCACCTCTGTGACAGTACTAACATTAACAAAGTGGGTTTTGGTGGAAAGTATCCCTTGGCATTATTAAAAGTGCTACCCATACTTCTAAAAGCTATGTATAAAACCACAGGCTCTCCAATGTAGAATGTTCAAAACAGAACCCATCTTAAAAATACATAAGATTTTTCCTTATATAGTGACTGGATCGACGTGTGATTTCATTGCTATAGAGAACTG